ATTCACCTGTTGTTTTTTAAGTAAGCTTCTAAATTTTGTTTATTCACTATATGACTTCAAGGATCAACCAGAACCTACCAAAAATGGGGGGGGGGGAATCTGGATTTAGGTAGGGAGTACATGTACATCTTATAGATCCTTTCCCCGCACCCATCTTTCAAAAAAAAAAAAACAAAACAAAACAAAACAAAACAAAACAACAAAAAAAAAAAAAAAAAAAAAAACAAAAAAAAAAAACAAAAAAAAAAAAAAAAAAAAAACGGCGAAATCCTTGAGAAGTATTCTTTGCGTTTACTTTTGTGCATATTTTTTTAATCAAATCATGCTGAGTAGTTCCCAGAAGCCATTATATAACTGGCAATAACATGTTTTCAATCGATAGATGAAATGCCCCGCCTACTCCGAATATTAATGAGACACAATTAAAACCCAGTTCGGACAAGCGCAACATTCCGGAATTAACACCCACTAGTGGGCATTTTAATTACCTTTAATAAAACTAAAGCGCCATTTTCAATGTAATTTTTTGCAAGTAATGTACCACACAGATAACAAAATATGGGTTAGGTGTAAAATAAAATAAGATTTGAGTTTATTAGATGATGTTGGAGGGGTCCGAAAAAGGGGACACGGCAATGTGCTTAAGTGGAAACATTCTTTAATACAGAATCAGATATACTATATTATTTCAAATGATATTAATGACATATGACAAAATAATAGCTTTACAAAAATAAAAAATTGTTTTTACACGCCTATATTCAGTTGGGTTTTTTAGTACGCCTTTACAGTACTGTGTATGTAAACATTTTTGGTAGTAATTTGGTAGTAATTTTTTAATTTGCTGAGATGTACTTATGGTAAACATCTTTATGCCCCGCCAAGAATATGGCCGGGCCATATAAAATTCATGTCTGTCTTCCATCCTTCTGTCTGTCCTTCCGTCCCGCTTTGCGTTTAGCTCCTTTCAAAGCTCAGTTTCAAAGAAATCATTCAAGATATTTTATCAAACCTCATATACTGATACATATTGATGATAGCTATTCAATTGCATCAGCATTTTTTGACCTTGACCTTTCCTTTGTCCTTGACCTCACTTTTCTTAAATTATTGTTCAGCTCAGTCTTAAAGAAACCATTCAGGATAGTGTTATCAAATTTCATATGCTGATACATACTGATATAAGTTATTCAACTGCATCAACATTTTTGCCTCGACCTTTGACCTTGACCTCACTTTCCTTAAACTAGTTTTAGCACAATTTAAAAGAAACCATTCAAAATAGTGTAATCAAAATTTATATGCAGATACATTCTGTTGTGAGCTATTTAAGGACCCTCTATACACTTAAGGAAAAGATTTTTTGAACACTAAGAAAATTATAGTGTGTAAAACTGTAAGTAATGAGCTTATCTATCACATTTTCAACATAAGGTGCCTTGCATTTACCTCCGGGAAAAATGTTCAAAGACAATGAAGTACTGATGAGCATAAATCACTGTTGTTTACTTAAGTGGGCAAACTACCAGCAAATGAAGTGTTCTATCTATTCATCTTGGCCTATTAAAGTGTAATGAATGCTTGATTAGATCAAAAATTCAGTAAAAAAAACTCTACATTTCAATTTATCTTATTCTTGATCAAAGGGCAGATCACTCTATCTGCATAAAAACCCCCACAAAATCAGAACTCTCTGGTGTGCAGTGTATAGAGGGCTCTTAACTGAATCAACATTTTTTGACCTTGACCTCACTTTTTAAAATTTGTGTTTAGGTAGGTTTTAAATAAACCATTCATGATAATTTTTATCAAATATTGTATCCTACCGGGTAATGCATACTGATGTAAGCTTTTCAACCTCATCAACATTTGTTAAAGAAACCTTTTAAGCTATTTTTATGTAAGCCTATGCACTTATACAATATACATAATTTGGTGAGAATTTATCGCCTTTATCCATTTTTGATCAATTTCGATTTTAAAGAAACTATTCAAGATATTCCCATCAAACTTCATACACTAATACAAATATTCATGTTGCATCACTGATACACTCTCGGTGGGGCATTCGTGTACTTTGGATATATTTCTAGTTAAAAGTAATTTTTCACCAATGCGTTAGTCTACTAATGGAATTATAAATGAAAAACTGTTATTCTGTAAACAAGAGAGCGGTATATGATATTACAACAAGAGACAAAAGGGCCTTAATGGCCGCCTGAGCATGATACCGCACTATAAAGGATAAATAGAAGTATAAAATTTTATAAACTGAAAGATGAAGTTCTCTTGAACAAAAACAAAAGAAAAAGGGTGATCAGGAATCCACAAATTATTTAGGCTAGTACTCAATAACAATCTATAAGTTGATATATTTATTTGCTTGTACTTGCTCCATCTGTCACTATCCCTATGTGGACTAAACAAAACGATAGTGCTTGAGCACTATTTGTACTCTTTCACACCAACCTTTTTCTGTTCTCGAAGAACTTTTAATGTAAAAAGATAATGTATTTTTGTCTCATTTTTATCTATTATTTACAAGTCTACATGCCAATAAAACTATGAATTCAAAGTACTTCTTGTTTTATGTATTATTAATATACTTAAATAATGCCAAGGAGAAGAGAAGACAACTTTAAAATAAAGAATACATTTTCAATAGAGGTTCAACACACCCTTGACCAAGAGTCCAGAAAATTCACAATTTTGAAAGAGGCATCCTTTCTCATTATAACTAAGTACTTTGTTTGATTTTTTAATGCCAGTAGAGAAAACGATTTTCAATAAAAGACATTTTCTATTTATAATCAATAGAATCCCCCCCCCCCCCACCCATCAACACCACCAAAACACCAAAACGACAGACACCAATTGAAAATAAAGAGGTATCATCACAAAAATCACCCAGATTATCTGCTAAAAAGTTAATGATTTTTTTTTTAAATATTAGTTGAGTATATGAATGTGATAATTTATCAAAAGAATACGATATGAAGAAGAACCATTCTAGAAATATGAAGCCATTGATTTGGTACAATCTTAATTTTCTAACGAAAAAAACAAAACAAAACAAAACAAAATGATCCAATTATGGGGTTATTTTCATTAAGAAAATAGTGTCCACAACCGTCGACCACCTCAATTTTCTGATATGTTGTGTAAATTCCATTTCTTAAATTTTCAGTTGGACATGCCTGTGCTTTATATTATCTGAGAGAAAATTTCCCCCCAAAAAATGATGTCTGCAACAACTTATTAAGAAAATGCGGGAAAATGCCCAAGTTAAACAAGTTACAATTAGTATTTAGGAGGACATATGAAAAATACGATTTGTATGTTCCTACAGATGGAATTTCAACTATTCAGAAAGCATGAATTTTCTCTTACATCACTTTCATATTTTAGAAAAATACATGGACACATTTGATTTGAAACCGTACTTTGTTCTTTCACAATTTTGGAAGACCCATCATTGCTTATCATAACCATACCCACCTTATCTACTCTTTTACTGTTTTTCATAAGAGCCCCGCTTAAAAACCAGGACCCCTGACTCTGTGGCCATGGAATGAACAAATCAGGTAGAGGGCTCAATGCTTACAATTATACCAACAGTTTTTACAACTGGATGTCCAGGAGTAAACACGAATATTTTTATAATATAGCATTAATTTTGATGGTTTTAGCCCAAACCCTCAGACCCCCCCCCCCCCCCCCACATGGAGCAAGAAATTCATAATTTTTGTGCACATTCAGTCATAAGTGCTTTATATTAAAATTGGTCTAAAATGGTTCTTTGGTTGAAGAGAGGAAGCTGAAAATTTAAAGTTTACGTCCGCAACGCTCGTCGCAGGCCATACGACGGCGGACAACAACAGATAGCAATCAGTCAACCATGAGACTCAGGTGACTTAATAAAATTGGCACACGTTTTCAACCAAGAACCTTTGGTATCGTGTTTACATGTATACTGAGTTATGGCACATAAACAAAGCAAGCACAGGAATACCATGCATACATGGTCAACCTGAGCTAAAGAACAAGGTACAGTTTCAATATAAATCTGGCTCTGTATTTTTTTTTTTTTTTTTTTTTTTTTTTTTTTTTTTTGGTAAAATATGAAAGTGATGAAAGAAATTAAAATTCATACTTTCTGAACTGTTGAAACTCTATGCACGAAGATAAACCAATAGTTTTTCTCATTTGACTTCCTAAATGCTAACTGATACGTCATAAACCTGTACATTTTCCGTAGTTTCTTTAAAAAGTTGCAGAAGACATTAATTTTCAATGAAATTTTCTTACAGATAATATAGACCACATGCATCGCCACAAAGATTTTGAGAAATGCAATTTTTCAAAGAATTTAACACAACATATCCGAATATTGAAGTGGGCGACGGCTGTGTACACTATTTTCTCAAGGAAAGTACCTCCTGAAATGAGTCATTGTTTTTTCTGCTTAAAACTTTTTAAAAAATACGAAATTTATGACGTCATATTTGCAGAATGGTCCTCCTTCGTGCCATATTCTTTCATTATGACACTCATATACTCAACTGATATTTATGCCAATTTCAAAACGTTTTGAAAACATTAAATTTTTAGGGCACAATAAGGTCTAAACCGCACCTTCTTCTCAGCTTTCCTTTTTGATGAGTGGAATACAGCAGAAAAAATGGTGAAGAAAAATATTTATAATCAAAAGATTCTACCTTGAAGTGTAATTGATAAGGTATAATTAATTTGCAGTATTTATCTTATTGGATAATGCATCTAAAGGTGTGTAAAGTAATTAAAAGGTGACGAATGCTATGTATATGTAGAAAACCCTTTTAAGCATATATGTTTATTTTGCATGCGTTATTTTCATCAAAATAGAAAAATATAAATTGCCAATTAAAAGTGTTCTCTTTTTACATTCCCAGTTTGGTGAATGTTATGTTATTATAATTATTGCCATGCTTTAAAGTTGATAGAAAAAAAAAATGCTCATCTCTAACAATGGGTCGATTTTATCCAATAGAAAATACTCGTATTCCTTTTCATTAGATAATATTTGGTTGACATTTTTTGTCTCTATTCCTTCTTTTTCAGAGACGTCTGAGCGAAAAGCGGGTATGCATGCAGAATGCGATCCCATCTCAGAATCTGTTTTTTTTTTGTTGCTCGCCCAAAATATTGTTTAGATTGTGTATTCTCTGGAAAGAAGTATTTCTTGAATCCTGGTCTTGACCTTTTTCAATTCGCTCGTCATAATTTATTGAAGTTTCTGTTTCACTAGACAATGAAACGTTTTCCTTTCTCTCTTGCCAACGAGCTACGGATTCTATACCTAGTTGTAAATGATTGTATACGTTTATACATTAGAACTATTTACAAAGTTTGACTTTCTGTCCTCCAGAAGCGTTGGATTTATATCTCTGTTTACTGGATCAACGTATTCTCCGACGTATACTGGAGAACTGTATTGTGGATTGTCGGTGTTTTGGGATTTTTAACCTAAAACAGAATGAAGATACAGATGTATTTTTATAATGATTCCCACATCACCGAAATGAAATATCAAGCCAACAACCGCTATGTTGGTATTGGAAAAATACTGCCATGATTTTAATACAATGTAAAGTCTTAAATGTGCCTTACTGGAATTTTACATACAATAAATCAATGTTTAAGGGTGCACAGCAGAATTTAGCAGCATACAACCTGTACAGCTCTACATATTCTTTCCTATTTTTGTGAAGTTTATATATAAGTTCTGAAGAGACACAATTTGTCGAAATGCGCATATGGTGCATCAAAATTGGTACCGTATATGATTTATATTATACTCTTTGAACTTCTTTTGAGTAACAGGTGTCATTTGGAAACCTCGACTGACACCAGTACATGTAGATGCCGGAATCAAAGTGACTGAACATTCAACAGGTGTGTGTGTGTGTGTGATATAATTAGGTTAACTGATTTTTGACATTTGAGAGGAAATACATTGCCGAGGCTAGAGGAAAAAATTAACACAGAGACAAAGAGCAAATAGTGCATTTACAAATACATTTTTGTGCGGTTATAAAGTATAGAGGGTAATACCAAAAATTTATGGAAAACGTTACTCGATAAAAAAAAAAGGCAAAACTTTATCCAAGGATAATGCTTCATGCAATTTTCAAGCTTATACATAAATCTCTACAAATGTAAGAGAGAGGAAACTGAAATTTTTTCCCGAGCTTTAAGAGGGATAACCCTGTCAAAAATCATTGAACCACGACCAAATTCGAACTAGACCTGTATTTTCTGGTGAAATACCTGCATATGCAATTTCAACCTTATACATACATCTCTAAAAAAGTTAAAGAGCGGAAACGGAAATTTTCGTTTTTTCTTAGTTCAAGAGGAATAACTCTGTCAAAAATCGTCGGACCACGACAAAATTCGATCTTTATCAGTATTTTCTGGAGAAATACCTGCATGTGCAATTTCAACCTTATACATACATCTCAAGAGAAATAACTCTGTCAAAAATCATTGGACCATGACAAAATTCGAACTTGACCTGGTATTTTTTATGATATATCCATATGTCAAATTTGAGTTGAATGTGTGCAACTTTTGCCAAGTTAATGATGGAGGAATGACGTAACAGGGCAACACTATATGCATAAAAATAAAAAGGGATGCAGCTGTATGACTGTGAAAAACTTTACATAAAATAAAAGCATTTTCGTTGTCATTTTATATTACCTTTATCCCAAAAAATAATTGTGAAGTGTGAAAAATTGAATAAATCTTCTGTAATATAAATTTTAGAATTCTATAATATAGATGTTTTATGGATGTTTTTTGTATCTTCTGTATAATTTTACTTCTTTTGTTTATTTAATAACTTTATTTATAGGGTTTTTGCTTTACTTACTACAGGAAATCAACGTTCCCCTAAATGGTTAACATAGAAAATGACTCTCGGTAATATCTTCCATACTTTTGACGTAAAAAGTACAGAATATCACAAGATCAAGATATATATATATATATATATATATATATATATATATATATATATATATATATATATATAGAGAGAGAGAGAGAGAGAGAGAGAGAGAGAGAGAGAGAGAGAGAGAGAGATATCTTTAGATGGTTTCAATCTACGCAAGCCCTCAAGCATTTTTTTTAACTATAAACGTTTTTGTATTATCTTCTTTCCCCTGAATTTGAAATTGATAGCTAATGCCACTCAAATAACACTATTGCCAATAGGGCCAAACAAATTTGTTTTTAATATACATCCACCATCTGTTTTTGGTAGTACACCTACCAGGTTTTACCATAGATTGTATATTGAGGGATTTGGGATGGACCCAGCCATCCTACCAAGCTGAATTTCTTTGTTGATTATATTTTGTAGTTTGGACTTTTGATTTTTAGCTGAGGACATATTTCTTGATTGCAAAGGCAGCCTTAATCCTGTATAGAACAAGTAAAAACCATGTTGAAAACCATTTGATATATACTGTGCAGTTTCTTTATCTGGGTATTCAGTCAGATGATTTTGTAAGCAGCCCACCTTATTTGGAGTTATAGCTAGGTCCCATATATCTTTATCTACGCGTTTGAGAGAATTGTCTTGGTCGTACTGTAGATTGTTGAAAGGAGTAGGGACGAAAATTGGATTGGCCTGTCTGCGGTGTATTTGGTCTAAAGATGGATGATGTTATGGTTTGATTTGACCAGCAGTGAATGCGTGGATGATTTTTGTGACAGTACATGCACAAGTGTTGATATAAGCAAGGATTTTTTGCACATGAGCCCTTATAATTATAGTCATAGCATTTGAGTGCTGACTGAGTTGGTTGTTAGAGTGGCTGGTTTGACATGTAAAGTAACCATAACTCTACGTCGACTGACCCCCAAGATATGAATGTGTTTTTGACATTTTTAATTTAAACTGTTTGTCGTTTTCCAGCCATGCACTGGTTGGGTTACGACTAGCTCCAATGTCTGGACAAGTATATACTAGCAAAAACTAGAAAGGCATCAATTCAAGGGTCAATAGTAGTAATCTTTTTAGATTTAGTTTTTGGTTGCATAATCAATTGTCCTTCTACAATTGAAATTTTTTGCCCCCTCCCCGAGTCCAACTCAGACTCTAAGACTTTTGCTAGCTCGTTATATACTTTTCCCCATATCTTTTCTTTAATGAGTTGGGGCACATGAAGACCCAACTCATCTGACACACTGATCAGAGGAGTTGGATTTTGTAAGGATGATACTGATATTGCAACATTTGTTGCAAGGAAAAAAGTACCTGATGTACTGGATGCCTCAGCAGTTGGGGTGGACACCACAGTAGGACTGGACTGGTGACCAGTGTAGCAGTAGGACTGGAGACCAGCTGCAGTGTAGCAGTCGAACTGGAGGCCATCGTAGGATGACAGGACGCTTCAGTACTTGTGGTGGGATTCTGAGTGGTAGATGACTATTGATTCTGTTGGTAGGTCCTCCTGGTCCCTCGCCGTGCTGGGCGTGCATATGGTGATGCCGTCTTACGCTTTGATTTAGCGCTCAGCATTTCCTTTGAGATATAAGCGGGTTTAAAAATAATATATAAAGGTTAAATTATTTTCCTGAGAATAAGTTATGCGGGTTTAAAAATGATATATAGATATACCTCGTTACAACTATATGTCCACAAGTAAAGGCGAGCTAAATGAGCTCATTGGCCTTAACAATTTATATTGCATACTTAAATGCATTTGAAACCGATTTATTGTATGGGCAAACTAAATCAGGAGCCGTTATGTTATTATTGCTATAATTATTTTGAAAACCGTTTACATGATTTGCATAAAATCACCTACGGACCTAAATATGACAAATTTGTGCAGATATTATTGAAAATAAATGGAAGTAGATACTCACCGCAATTGAAAGTGAAATTACTTTACCAATATTTGTACTGATGTACAGAAAAAAAAGGATATCAATAGTGGATTTGGTCGCTGATCTTCGGATTGCTGGTTTTTCTTTAGTTCTAGAATTTTCCAAAAGGAAGAAGGTTTTGCGCATGCTTCATGGAAACTGGGGTTGCAAAAACTGAAGACATTTACCGAAGCCGAACTAATAGGAGATCATACGAGTTATCTTTCTTGGACTTGCTCTATTCATCTCAATAACACGACTTACTAGTAACCCATATACGAGTTAAGTCAGATAATTAGAAGGCCCACAATTTTTCGTATTTCGATATACACGTTTGCAAAAATATCACTATGTACTTGTAGAAGAAGATTGGTAGTTTTCATATATGCATAACAAAATTTCGCAAGTACGTTAATTAGAAGTATTCACAGGATTTAAACATCCGTTCTTTCCGCAAATTGCTATTCTTAAAAAAATATTTTTACAACAAATTCCCAAAATTTTAGTAGCGCACACACCTCGAGCAAAAAAAAAAAAAAAAAAAAAAAAAAAAAAAAAAAAAAAAAAAAAAAAAAAAAAATTATATATATATTTGAAAATAATTTGATGAAAGACAAGCAAAAATAATGGTAAGAATTTGCTCGATGAATGTGCAGTATGTTAATTTTGACATTTCATGACTATTTCCGGTGGCGAATACTGAGCTGGTCGAGAGGAAAATTCTTATATAGCAGAAATAATAATGGTGTGTTTCGTTTAATAATGTTAAAAAATAAATTTATCATCGATTGACCATATGTATATTGTTTATATAAATATATTGGTCATGAAAATAGCATAAAAACTAAAAAAAAATGTTTTATAGAAATGACAAATTTGCGATATTATTTTATAAAAATAAGCCTTACACTTAATAAATGTTGCTAGCAAGAAGGGGAGAGATCAATTTAATATACTACGAGGGTTGTTCAGAAAGTTCGTAGACTATGGCAATCTTCGTTATACTATCTTCAAGAAATTTAAAATGAGCGCATTATCATATGTAAAATTATTTATTTTGTTTAAGTGTGAACTTTCATTCCATGTGATTTAATAGAATTCATGTTAATTAATTTTAAAATCAATACGTTTTGTAAGCACGGAGCAAACTCAACAACACTGTAACGCCAAAAACATACCGACTTGAGGTTCTCAAAAATACTATCCCGATACATTTCACACATTATTACCCAATACCAGTGCACTCATTAAAAACGTTTCTCTATAACTTGAAATCTATTTTGTTAACAATTGGTTCGGTAGCATCATTCAGTTTGTCAATTTATATTTTTTTAACTGCATAAGTGTACTTTCACAAGATCAGCATCTGTGAAGCGCCAAACTCTTAGCATGGCGTTAATAACGTTTCAATGTTTCTGATAAGATTTTTACAGATAATCCGTCTCACAGATCACCATCGTCTAAACAGAGTAGTATATCATTCAAATGCCGCTTGTACCATGTACACACGAATGCATGGCCCGCTTTTAATATATTTCCTACTTTCTCCGGCCTTTTCAGATTTTTTTCTGGAGTTTTCCAGAGTACAACACAAAATTGGTTGGTTAACTGCTGCTCCGTGACGTTCTACGGTATCATCTTTTTTGCCTTTTTTCAATGAGGATTACCTTCTTCTGAAACTGATTTATTATCAACGAAGCAAAGTATTAAGTCATAATTTAGAATCAGAAACGACGAAACAATTCTTAATTTGAACGTGTAGAATTTTTTCCTTTTTTGTGTTATTTTACAGAAGATATGATTTCAGACATTATTTAGTGTCCTGGTTGTAAATTACAAAATGTTTACCTGCTCCGCAATCCGATTTTCGCATTTTTTAAGTCTAAAAAAGTTTGTAATAAACCACGATATTTCAAAAAATTTTGATACATATCATTTGAATTTATTGTTGAAATGATTCTACCAAATTTTAATATTATATGACGTTAAGTAAAAAAGTTATGACGGTAGTCCACGAACTTTCCGAACAAACTCGTAAAGCAATAAAATAAAAATGTTCAGCTGACAAATGAAATTACTATAAGTATTATCGCAGAAAAGAAAATGTTTAAATCCTAGCCAGTCTTTTTTTTCATTTTGCTACTAAAACGGCCTAGCTGAAGTCTGCATGTATGTAATAAATTACTCAATAAACTCAAAGACGACGTTACAATAAGTCCCCTTGCAACACAATTGTTTGGAAGGGGAGGATAAATTTCCAATCTTTTGGATGCTGTTGGTCAGGACGGATCAGATTAATTAATATTCTGAAGTTTTGTATTTTCAGTCATTTATACAAGTGCACGATTGATGTTTCAATATATTTTCAGATGCACATAATAAGCGTGTTGCATCTGCATAAGTTTATATTGTAGACATTGCCGTTAATATTATGTATATAAAAACAAAGGCTCATATTTCACCTGGTAAAATTTAATTTTTACCCGTATCTTCTATTTAAGATCATTCCACATATACAAGAGTTGTAATTTCTTATCTGTCGAGGATCCAGTGAAGTTAAAAGAATACTGGAATGAAAAAGCGACAGAAAGGTAAAAAAAAGGAAAAAAATAAAAACTGTATCGGATGAGGGGTTCATTTGTCAGCAATGTTACCTGTTATTAAATTCTTTCACGCCATTTCGGCGATGTATGTGTATCACACAATTTAATATAAGTACTGTGGAACAAAACTATTTGTCAGTGTGGACAAGTCTGAAAACAAGTTATTATCAGGCACGAAGAATCAGAGGAGCAGGGCCCCTTCCCACTTTTTATCCAAATTTTGAAAATTTTCATTGAAAGGCTGCCTCCCCCTCCCTCTTTTTGCTGTAGCATAGGTAAAGCTTAGGAATTTAGTGTATTGGGGGCAAATTGGTTGTGAAAAAAAAAGTTTGAACATACCGTGGCTTGGGGCCTTGGTTTTTAAGGTTTCATCCGAAAGACCCGCAACTTCCACTTCAAAGTGCCGAGGGCTTGATGAATGAGCAGTTGCTACCTATTTTTCATCGACTTAGGTCGGTCGCGGCCGTGATTCGAACACACGATCTTCCCATCACGGAGCGAGCGCTCTACTTGAGATGGATTGAAAAGCAGGCACAAATGCCTATGATCTTTCTGCCCATGTGTTTGGTATCAAAGGCTTACAATACTTACTTAAAAATAGGCTCTCATATTAAGCAAAACTTCAAGCAACAAAGTCGAAAATTCAAGCAACAGTATTTATCTATAATTATATGTACGTTTTTAAAAAAGATCTTCAAAGTGTTCTTCAACGAGAGTAAATTTTTATACATGTTTATTTTTTATTTTATTTATTTATTTATTTTGGAAAAACTATACTAAGTTGGTAAAAGAAAAAGCCTCAATAAGTTGCTAAGGAAAATGCAATAGAAAGTTGTCTATGCCAACTATCCAAGAGAAGTACTGCATCTATACCAGCTTGTAAAGGGAGGGGGTAGGGTTCGTGCATTTGAGAAGGACCATCCAGTGACATATAAAATTATTAACTGAATGACAATCTTTTTTTCAGTTTTTTTTTTTTTTTTTTTTTTTTTTTTTTTTTGTTTGTTTTGTTTTTTTTTTTGTTTGTTTGTTTGTTTTTTTTTTTTTGGATGACAAAACAGAAACGTTTTAAACACATTTTGTTTAGATAAATTCGCGAATGACACCGCGACTCATTGGATTGGCTGGGGAATTTGCCATTTCAATGTTATCTATTAATTAAGATTTCAAATACTTTCGAAAATATCTTTAATGTCTTTTTGGGGGGAATCTGAAATTCAATAAAATAGTGTTAAACTTTTAATGCAATCTTAAAAACAAACCAAGTAATTCGCATAAAAAAATTGCATAGCTTTTAAAAATCCAAATCTTGCTTTAATTAGAATAATTGGATACTTAAAATAAACGTACTATTAAATATGCGTTACGATATCTCTCTCATTCTCTTCGTCTCTCTCTCTCTCCAATCCTCCCTCCCTCCCTCTCTCTTTTGTTTTAAAATCATATAAATCAATCTTTCATTTTTACGTATATTGTCGGACCCAAAAACCAAACTGTTTGTCTAAGCCGTTATTTAACCGATCGATGGGTCGACAAACTGCATTTGCCCGCGAACATAGTCAATAAATGTTTTGTTATACCTTTGTATCTTGTGCTGGCTTCCATGATGCAAATTTACTTAAACACTTAAACACTTTAAACTGTGGTTAAACTTGATCAATTTTGTCACTGTCGAACACCAACGAATGCAAATGAGATTTAGCTGATCCCGCCCATAATTTTGACGTACCCTCAAATTTCTTATCGACAGGTCAAATATCTTACTCCGCAGCCAAACATCTATTTTTTTTGTTTTATGACCGCTCAGTACAACATTGGAAATATGTATAGATTTTATATAGAAACCAATTTTCAATGGTATAACAAAATTTTGTGTCGTACTCTTGATTTTTTTTAGAATAAACTGAAAATATTGTAGGGAGCAAATGTAAAATGCGATTTGTGCATATGTGTATAAATGATAGACACTGTGTTCGAATGATTAAAACTCTGTATCAGACAAGGGTGGTCTGTGAGAAAATGGATTACCTGTAAAAATCTGAACAGAAACACTGAGTTGGTAAAGTCATGGAAAGAAAGGCGCTTCACAGTTGCTGATCTTGTAAATGCACAGCTACGCGGTTAAATAGAAAAATATGAACATGGAAAAAAAAATTATGCTACTGGTAGGATTGTTAACAAAATAAATAAAATTGAAAGAGAAACATATTTAATAAGTGGCTATTGGACCAAACTGTGTGAAATGTAAAGGGAGATTTCTTTTTTGAAAACATCATGACGCAATGTTTTCTACGTTATAATGTAGCTCCGGGGTTACAAACATGTTGATTTAAAAATTAAGTAAAATGATTTCTGTTAAATCGAATGGAATGAAACTTCACACATCAACAAAATAATTTTTTTTATATAAGAAAATGTGTTTTTTTTTTTTTTTTATTTTTATTTTTTCTTAAACG